CTTGAAAGAGTTGCGTGGCGAGCAGGGTGGGATGAAAAAAGAAGGTGATGTAGCGGCTGCGCTGAAACTCTTTCTCGATAAGAAGTACGGCCGACTTTGGCACGTGGTGCTGGTTCGTGGATCATTCTGGATGAATTATTCACATGAAAAGGATGCCTCATTACAGTTTCGCGATGGGCCCTACAGCATTTTAGTATGGAAGACTTCAGATCAGTAGCTTAAAAGTTCACAGTATTTATGCTGGTCTAGGGTGTAATATTTAAAAGATAATACCGAATGTTTAGAATTTTTCATAGTAGATACTTACGATTCCATCGTCATTCAGCTTAGCTATATTATTCGAAAGCAAAAATTCTCACTTCCATATGGAATTATCTCACAATTGTCTGCGATAATCTTCTGCCCTAACTCTAAAAGGGAAAATTTATATATTTAAGGAGGCTTGATATATAAAGCCGAAAAAGGAATTCTGTATAACTCACTACGTTCGGCTAACATATAGAATTCATTCTACTTTTTTACTATCACTGTTTTAGTTAAAGTTAGAACCATTATTGTTTATATTTACATCAAATAATAGGGGTGGAAAATTGTGCACATTTTTCTGGAAAATGATTCATTTTTAAAAATTCACTTTAACTGTAATCAAAATAGTTTTTAAACCAACTTTTGACTCCAAGCATGCTACTCATTGTAAACTAAAACCTTTATAAAGCCTCAAGGCGAATCATATAGAATTTGTTAATATTATATTTATCTAAAAACAGTAATAAATTCTGGTCAAGTTATGCTTTAAATTCGGGAAATGGCAATTAAACAAGGCGCAAGAAAATGAGTTATTTATCTATTTACAATTATTAAGGAAGAAGTATTTTCTTACTTGACACTAGTCAGCTTAAAACAAGTATGATTCTTCCCAAAATAAATTTTTAGCACATAGATTCAAGTAAGGGAATATTTTACTATTTAAAATATTCATTTATAAAAAAGTAAGATCGCCTTTAATTATAATACTTTTTTGTAAAACCCGTGGTTATAGGAAAATATTAATGACACAACTGAGAATTAGGGACAGCCTCGTAGTATGTGCTAGCGAACGCAGACCTTAGACCTATATTCTCTTATTTTACGTGGCATCATTGAGAAAAGAAGGTGGATCTACT